GTCAATTACCGCAGCGATCACCAAGGACCAGTGTTAGAGTCATTATAAACCTCTTTAGTATTCATAGTACATTCAGTAACCATAGTTAGGGGACTTTTTTCAATTTGGGGGTTCCGTGGCCATATTGCAATTAATTGTCCTGATAGTTCCCCTAAGAGGCGTCTTTACTGATGATGAGTACCAGTCAGATCTTCCTACTGTACTTATCATAGAATACATGGACATGACACATCTGGTGCAATGCTCTCTACAACCTTCAGTACTTTTAGGTCTTTCCGTGGCCGTTCCAACCGCAGAACCCGTAGGGAAACAGACATCGTGGTTCTCAAACTAACCAGAACCGGGCTCATTTCTTCCAATTTGGGGGAATTTCGAGCCCCCCGGTCAAAACCGTCCCATGGTGACGAGGTGAAAATGAGTTACACCATCCCCGTTCAAAATTTTCCTTGAAGCCTTAAGTGTCTCGAGAATGAAAAATCCTGCTGAGGATGTTGCTTCACACGTCTCTGACGTAGATAAATTTGGGATGAATTTGGAAAAATCTTTTCTGAGGGACATCCACCTTTTTGTTTGGGCACATAAACTTCCCAAGCAACCATAGGCCCTATAGTGAAAGCATCTGTTCATAATGCGCCCATTCATTTGTTCTTGGACTCTGGTGCGCAAGTCAATATTATCAGGTCTAGTTTGTTTGGGATAAGCAGTTACGACTGTCCTTCTCGTAGAACCGACTCATGTATCCTCCCTTAGTGGAGTAGCTGGTTCTACCTGCGTGTCCCAGGTCGGACTTCCCTACCTTTTCTATCCCCAAAGGGAGAGACTTTACTGCTTCCTTCCTTGTTGTCGACCAGATACTTTCCCTGGTGACCTTTTTACTGGGATTTGCTTCCCTGCGAGGGCTTACGCATTGTGCTCGACCCTTATCGATGGCATGCCCAAATTTATGACTTGATCGTACCTTTTGGGTTTACCAGCTTGGATCCGAGATCTACCATACTGCCGCAGAGTACGACATTCGGATTAAGTCCTACAGGCCAGTGCATTTTCCAGTAGCTTACCCAAGCGGTCAGGCACTGGTGATCTGTCACTCCTGTCTGTGTCTGCAACTTCACTGAGACTTGCAAGATAGTGTCCAGTTACCTCAAGAGTCCGAGGACGCTCTGACTACCTTGAGTGCTGAGCTATCCCTGCAATGTCTGCTAGTTCAAGTAGTAGGTTTCTCTCTGGGGACGCTATTGTCGGAAAACGATTACTTGCAACAGTAAATGCCATCTATTGTTGATGTCTACTATGCGTCTGCAGAGAAAGACGTTTCTGTCGTGGCTAGTGCCCTCACTAGAGCATGTCTTGATGTTATTTCTAGGTGTTCAGAGCGTGATAACGTCTAGTTGAACAGTGATTCTGCAAAGTAAAAGGTCTATTTGTTGAACATCCTTACAAGTTGTAAGAGATGTAAGATCCTTCATTTCTCCCTAGCTAACACTTCTGGTCACTGTGTTCGTCTCCAGTGCTAATACCAATCTTGTTGGACATGTTCTCTATCCTTACCATATTCAGGTAGAGATGAGTAGTCACTGACCTGTGGTCGGTGCTATTTCTGCCGGGGACGACATTCATCCACTTCACTCGATCAATCTGTTCCACCAGTTGAGGAGAAAGACTTAGCTCCCACTGACTTCCCAGACGAGGTCAAACGTTTGTTGAATCTGTTGAACAAACCGTCGTAAGCCATTGCCTTACCAGGTGAGAAGATGGGTATATACGAACTTATTGTCAATCGTATTCCACTTGAACCTGGTACAAGACCCTATCTATATACCTGCTTAAAGATTGCCTTATTCACAAGTTGCTGTCGCAGAAGGAATTGGATCAATCAAATGCTTGATGATGGAGTTATTGCACCTAGCATTCACCTGGGAATGCGCCTTTTGATCCTAGTGCCTAGAAGGATGGTACGTGGCGCCAGTGATGGACTGACTTTAGGAAGTAAATGCGAAACTATTCCAGATCACGTCCCACTCCCTGTACTGGGTATCTTTTACGTAACATTGGTGATAACAAAGTCTTTTCACCTGAATTGCTTACATGGGTTTTGGCAAGTCCTCTTCACGAGGGACAGCCAAGGTACATGCATTCTCCACCCCTACAGGTCATTATTAACTTCCTCAGTACTGGCATTTTGGGATTATGATCCTCCCTATCTGTTCTCAGGCTCATGACTAATTTCTTTAGAGGTCTAATAGTAATGACTATATGGTGTAGTAGATGACGTAATCGTCATGTCTAAAGAAGTGGATACACCACTTGAAAGACTTGATGTAGTTACTTTGGTAAGCTTGAAGAAGCATGTAAAGATCAAACTGTCTAATGTCACTTTTTCAGATCAGAAATCAAGTTTCTTGGTACGTAGTAACTCCTAGAGGGGTTAAAACTGAACAAAGTAAAGTATCTGCAGTACTAAATTTTTTCCAACTTCCCCTAAAACGCTGATGGTTTCCATAAGATTCCTTTGTGGGCTTAGAGGTTTTTATAGATTTTCATTGCATTTTTCTTCCATTGCTGCTCCTATGAGTTGCTAGAAGATGCTCCTTTTGTTGCTCCAATTTTGAAATTCCAGATTTTCTAAGCCTTCTAAATGACAACTGATGCTAGTTTATTGGCCTAGGTGCCGTACTAGCTCAGATGACCGATGGCATGTACAACGCAGTTGCATTTGCTAGCCGGTCCTTTCGAAGTGCTGCACGTAATTATACAGTAACCGGTAGCTAAGAGCTTTAGAATAGTTGGTCTTTAAAGCAATTCCGAGCCATTTTGTATCAGTACTCTGTTCATGTCTTGACAGACCATGCTCCACTGTTACCTTTATTCCAGAAAAAAACAACCTACTGGAAGGTTAGCCAGATGGACCTTGACTATCCAAGAGTTTCCATCCCACCTTTGAACACTTACCTGGCATGGTCAAATGTAGTCGCCAGATGCCTTATTGCGAATGGTAGTATAGTAACTGCAGACCTTCCTTTTACCCGCCGAGATGTAAAGAAATGGCTCAAAGAGCAGATCCCATGTGGTCTGTGTGATTCGATTCCTGCTCCAGGAAGATTCTTATTCTGACTGTGGAAGACACAGCACCCATCTCATTGACTTGGTCATGAACCAAGAATTACTGATCGAACAGCCGGAGTTGGGTTCTCCTAGCAGATGAGTATACAGTTGTAATTCCACACAGTCACTAGGACTGTAAGGCCTTGCAGCTAGTTCACGATGTAACCAGGTGTTGCGCACCATGGTATGGATCGTTCAGTAAAACATGCAAATTGTTCGAAATACTTTTGGCCTCGTATGGCAACTGATATTCTGAGTACGTCTAGAAATGTAGTGTCTGCTGCAACATAAAGGTAATGCTATGCGTCCTAAATCCATTCCAAGTGTATCCAACTACTAGGACCGTGGAAAGAGTTGCGCTTAGATCTGTAAATAATTTCCAATGTTCCCTCCAGGGGCAACAAAAATCTGTGTGTTATGGTGACCATTTCACAGATATTGTGAGTTAGGGTTCTATTGCCAGATAAGAACTGCAGAGACAGTAGTTAAGCGTTTAAAAGAACGCATTATCTGCAGGAATACCCACCCTGAGTCCTAGTAACCAGGGTATTATGGAGGTGAATTCTGTTATGGATTCTTGAAATTTGTGCACCTTGTACAAGATCTCTAACTCCACCATTGTTCCTCTATCATCCTGCCAAACAATGGGTTAGCGGAACGACCCATAAGAAGTACTGATGTCTTGAGAGCCACTATCAATCCAACAGGAAAACTTGGGTAAAGTTATCCTGATGTGCAGTGTGCCTATAAATTCTGCTTACAATGTTTTCCATAGGTGGGACACTCCACATTAATGCATTGTACTGTGTAGATAATGTTTGCCTTATGTGTTGTTTTATCTAATCCGAAACCAAAATTACAACCCTGATGATTTCAATGCAATGTACCAGCTTAGCTCAAAGTGTTTTTAGAAGAATCCGTGAAAACACTTTCATAATCAAACAAGCAGAATTTACAAGAGTCGCAAACACTCGAGCAAAGCCATCAAATCAAAGTAGGGTTCGAAGAGTTATGTGACTAACTTTAACAATAAAGTCTGCAATGCCAAAGCTTGATCAAAAAAAGTTTGTTTGTCTTATCGAGCAGTTGAAATATCACCGGTAATAAGTATAAGGTTAGATGAATTAGTATGGTCAGTATAAAGAATCGCATTTAGAATCATATGAAGTTAGTATGTGATTTTAATGGTGTTCCAACCAGAATAATGTGACAGGACTCTGACAATCCTCCTGATCGTAGTCTTACCTTGATACTCAGTTCAGACGATCACTAAATGTCGTTATCCTACGTACACGACAGGTATTGAGAATCCTCAAGTATCATTTGTAACTACCAATTCAGATTTGCCTCAAATACGGCATGAGTTAGCCAGTGCAACAGAGTTTGATCCTCCCAGAGATACCCATTCTGCATATGTCAATCTCACCCTAGCAGAGTTGGGGTTAAATGTAAATAACCTGTATAGATGAATAATTACAGTATCATCTTATCAGTACTCAAGAATTTTTTTTTGTGTCATTCACGTTCATATCCGAAATGCTGAGATTTAAAACTAGTTAGATTTGAGTGCACCGAATCTGCCTTTCTGTTAAACACTTCTTTCTTTGTATATATTTCTCCCTCAGAATCCGTAGATCACATGTATACAGATCAATTTTTTTTATCATTTCTCTTATGTAATCCCAATGTTGAGTCTCATTCGATGAGTTGTGCTATATTATACCTTATAATGCATTACAGTAAGTTTCATTATAGTCAATTACGTAAGCTTCCATTCCAATATTCTCCTTATGTTATAATGTTCAATTGTTGTGTACTTTGATATTGTATAGAATCAGCCGTCTCTAGTTTGTATTAGCTGTATGTCGGGACGACATACATTAGCGTCGCCGAGCTCTCAGTAGTACCAGTTACCAGTAACCAGTTACCAGTAGATGACTCACTACCAACCGTCTGTGTGAATCACTGACTGTTATTCATGTTGCTGCTGACCATAGCATATTTTTGAATGCCTCACCCGCTAGGCACTGGTGGGTCAGTCTGAGATAGGGAGCAGAGAGAGAGGCAGGTCGGCTGTTGGCGCTTCCCACACTTCCCGTTATATATTATACGTACAAACCAGCCTACGTGAGTATTTTTACCCCATCCACGTTATCGAACCCACATGACACACGTGGGTACATTTAACTCGTACATTCTGTACATATATCTCGTTCTATCTGTGTATAAAAGGCCGGTAGCTGTTACTGTGTTCGTTTTACAGGATGAGCTGAGACTGCAGTCTTACCGACGTCCAGTGTACGTACCTATCCCTGTCTACCAGCCCCTGCAGCAGCCCCAGCAAGGAGCACCCCAGAGTGGTCAGCTGCCCCAGCAAGGCCACCTTCCTCAGTATAGCCAGTCCCAGCTGCCTCAGCACAGCCAGCTGTTGCAACCCGGGCAGTCCCAGCTGCATCGCCACAAGCTGCCCCAGCACGGTAAGTCACAGCTGCCCCAATACAGCCAGCCGCTTCAACAAGGCCAGCTGCCTCAGTACGAGCAACCCCAGCACAGTCAACTGCTGCCACCTGGCCAGCCCCAGCACAGCAAGCCCCAGTACAGCCAGCAGCTACAGACCACACTCGCAGAGCAAACCCATCTGTCCCACTTTCCATCCGCACAATACAACCCATTCCAGAGTTCAGGAGCTTCCAGATCCGTGAGTCTTGTTGGTTGCTTGGTTAATGAGGTGAAAAGATTATTTATCGATTTTATAGGATGATTAAGGTTGCTTATTTATTGCTGGTAACCTTCTGGTCACCAGTTAAGATTACTTTCATCCCTACAATAGAGTTTAAAGGAAACTCTCAGTATTCGCTGAGTCACACCTCTCAGTGTATATATCCAGGGGTCTTATTTTTCATATCATTCCACTTAGCGGCGTAACCTCAATAAAATTAATAGTTATATTTTTAGGTACAGTGAATTTTAATGCTTCTTTAGTGTAACCATCGGCTAATTCATTTTTTTTTTACTATTATGTGCCTATACTGGATTTTTTCCAGGGTTATCCTGAGCTAATAACTCTCAGGAATAATAATACAAACAAAATCTTTCTTCTTCTACTACTTCTTTTTCATCTTCATTTGACTGCACCAGATTTAAATTACCGTGGTAACCCCTGTATAATTTGACATGTCGAACCATTTTTTGTGATGTGTGAGCAGCGTCGTGAGGCTGGGCTGTCTCCCGAGCACCTCAAGAACCTCAAGACTCTTATCATTGCTAAGATCAGCAACATTACCTGCGTCCTCAGGGAGCTCAAGCTGGTTGGTCCACCATATTATTATTATTATTATTATTATTATTATTATTAGTAGTAGTAGTAGTAGTAGTAGTAGAAGTAGTAGTAATATCAATGTTTTAAAATCATCATTATAATTGCTACTATCACCATAACATCACCTATAACACCCCTTCCCCCTCTCATCGCTACCAAAACTACCACCATTGCTCACTATCTTCCAGTTGGCCTCCAACAACCTGCCCAACTACTCTTACATAGGAAAGGAGTTGTTAAGCCTCCCCGTGGAGGACGGCCTCAAGGCTGACCTCGGAGAGGCACTGCAAGAGTGCCGTGACCTCTCACTGTGTCTCCCCGTCCACAAAGACAAGCATCCCATCAACAAGGAGCTGGGCACTGTTCTCTCCTTCCTCAAGTGTATGGCCAGGAAGAAGGTAGGGAAAGGATTATTTTGAATATTGTTATAATGTCTCTTCTTGTTCTTCTGTCTTCTAGTGTCCTTTGCTTCATTTATTTTATTCTCTGCTAGCATTTCATTCGCAATACTTGTTTCGCCTCGTTGCATACCCCAGCAATCTTTTAACAAGCTTCTTCAGGCGTGGGTTCCACACTGGTGCTGCATACTCCCAGATGGTCCTGATATATGTTGCATAAAGAGCCTTGTATGACTCTCCTGAGATTCCTAAATGCTGATCTTAGATTAACGAAGTGCGTGTGTGTGTACTCACCTAATTGTGGTTACAGGTGTCGAGACTCAGCTCCTGGCCCCTTTTCTTTACTGGTCGCTACTAGGTCCTCTCTCTCCCTACTCCATGAGCTTCATCAAACCTCGCCTTAAAACTATGTACGGTTCCTGCCTCCACTACATCACTTGCCACACTATTCCACTTCATGACAACTGTATGACTGAAGAAATACTTTCTAACATCCCTTTCATTCATCTGAGTCTTCAACTTCCAATTGTGACACCTTGTTTCTGTGTTCCCTCTCTGGAACATCCTGTCTCTGTCCACTTTATCTATTCCCAGTATTTTGAATGTCGTTATCATGTCACCAATAGCTCTCCTGTCCTCCAGTGTCGTCAGGCCGATTTACTTTGCCCTTTCTTCGTAGGACATTCTCCTTAGCTCTGGAACTAGCCTTGTTGCAAACCTTTGCACTTTCTCTAATTTCTTGATGTGCTTGACCAGGTGTGGGTTCCAAACTGGTGCTGCATACTCCAGTATGGGCCTGACGTACACGGTGTACAGAGTCTTGAACGATTCCTTACTGAGGTATCAGAATGCTATTCTCAGGTTTTCCAGGCGCCCATGTGCTGCAGCAGTTATATGGTTTATGTGTGCTTCCGGGGACATGCTCGGTATTATACTCACCCCAAGATCTTTCTCCTTGAGTGAGGTTTGCAGTGTCTGGCCACCTACCCTATACTCTGTCTGCGGTCTGCTTTGCCCTTTCCCGATCTTCATGACTTTGCATTTGGCGGGGTTAAATTCGAGGAGCCAGTTGCTGGCCCTCACGTCCAGCCTGTCCAGGTCTCTTTGTAGTCCTGCCTGATCCTCATCTGATTTAATTCTCCTCATTAACTTCATATCATCTGCAAACAGGGACACTTCTGAGTCTATCCCTTCCGTCATGTCGTTCACATATACCAAGAATAGCACTGGTCCCAGGACTGACCCGTGTGGGACCCCGCTCATCACAGGCGGCCACAGTGGTACCTCATCATGTACCATGGCTCGTTGTTGCCTCCATGTCAGGTATTCTCTGATCAATTGCAGTGCCCTTCCTGTTATATGTGCCTGATCCTCTAGCTTCTCCACTAATCTCTTGTGAGGAACTCTGTCGAAGGCCTTCATGCAGTCCAAGAAAATACAATCAACCCACCCTCTCTCTCTCTTATCTTACTTCTGTTACCTTGTCATAAAATTCCAGTAGGTTTGTGACACAGGATTTGCCTTCCATGAATCCATGCTGGTTATCGTTTATAATCTTGTTCCATGCCAGGTGTTTCAACACTCTCCTCCTGATAATCTTCTCCATGACTTTGCATACTATACACGTCAGTGACACTGGTCTATAGTTTAGTGCTTCATTTCTGTCTCCTTTCTTAAAAATGGGGACTACATTTGCCTGCCATCTTCCATACCTCAGGTAGTTTCCCAGTTTCAAAGGATGTGTTGAAAATTGTGGTTAGTGGCACACACAGCATCTCTGCTCCCTCTCTAAGACCCCACGGAGAGATGTCCGGTCCCACCGTCTTTGAAGTATCAAGGTCACTTACCAGCTTCGTCACCTCCCCCTCGGTTGTGTGTATTTCATCCAACACATTCTTGGTACATCCCATGTTGGTATACCCTTCTGTTCTGTCCTCTCAGAGTCCTTTCTGTCTCCACTGTAAATACTTAAATCTCGTGTTGAGCTCCTAACATACTTCTTGGTCGTTTCTTGTGAGCTCCCCACCTTTTCTCAGCCGGATTGCCTGGTCCTTGACTGTTATCTTCCTCCTGATGTGGCTATACAGAAGTTTTGCGTTAGACTTGACTTTCGATGCTATGTTATTTTCGTACTGTCACTGGGCCTCCCTCCTTATCTGTGCATACTCGTTTCTGACTCTTCAACTAATCTCTTTATTTTTCTGGGTCCTTTGCCTTCTGTACGTTTTCCATTCTCTAGTGCACTTAGTTTTTGCCTCACTACACCTTCGGGTAAACCAAAGGCTTGTTCTGTTCTTCCCATTATTTCTGTTGCTTTCGGGAACAAACCTTTCCTCTGCCTCATTGCATTTTGTTGTTACCTAGTCCATCACTTCGTTTACCGACCTTCCTACCAGTTCCCTTCCCCACTGAACCTCCAGCAGGAAGTTCCCCATAGCTGTGTAGTCCCTTCTTTTGTAGTTTGTCTTTTCCCATTCTACTCCTGCTACTCTCTCCACTTGTAACTCTATAATGTATTCAAAGCTAGCTCCATGGGGGCCTTTCACATGTGATGTCCTCAATGTCCGAGCTACTCAGGGTGAACATGAGGTCCAGTCTTCCTGGTTCAATCTCCCTTCTCCCCTCTGGTACTGTCCAGTTCCACATCCATCATTGATTTCTCCTGTTTTGGGACCCCCATGTGGCCCCAGGTTTTCCCAGTCAATCTCCTGTGGTTAAATCGCCCATAACCAGTAACTTTGCCCTACTCGACTGAGCTCTTCTGGCCACCTCAGCTAGTGTGTCCACCATTGCTCTGTTGCTTTCTTCATATTCCTCTCTTGGCTTCCTGCAGTTCAATAGCGGGTTATACATCACTGCAATGACTACCTTATGTCCCCTAGACTGAAATATACCTGCTATGTAATCCCTTTCTCCAGTCTCGTCCTTTCCTTTTATTTCCTCAAATCTCCATTGGTTTTTAATGAGCAGTGCAACCCCTCCTTCCCCTCTGCTCCTTCTATCTTTCCTCGAGATCTCATATCCAGGTGGGAAGATTTCGTCTGTTATTATCCCAGTGAGTTTTGTTTCTGTGAGTGCTATGATGTCTCCTTGATTCTTTCATGCCACTCCTCACATTTAATCGTTATTCCATATGCATTTGTATACCAAACTTTCAACTTCTTTCCTAAAACTGTGGTATGGGGAGAGTGGTGGGGTTGGGGAAGTAGGAACCCTGGTGGGGGCCTATGGGGGGGTTGCTATGGGGGTGGGGTTTGTGGTGATGGGGGTGGGGGCAGAGGGCCTATGGGGGTTGCTGTGTGGGTGGAGTTTGCAATGAAGGGGGTGAGGACTGAGGGTACAGTGTAGGAATTTTGGTTTAGATTGTTCAGTTACATTGGGGCTGCCATGTTTGAATTCCTTCTGTGGGTGGTTCTGGAGGAGGTTGTGTTTGCTCTGCCACCTGAGTCTGGGTTCTCCTGCTCATCCCCGTCATTGCCTCTCATTTCTCCTTGTGTTTTTGTGCCTTCTCTTTCAGCATCCTCCTTTCGTCTTGTGTTCTATCTTGGTCAAGGTACACTCTCCAGTAGTCTGGTTTGTACCTTAGTTGCGCTTTCTACTGCAGGATCATGTTTCAAGCTGATTCTTCCTTGAAAATCACTTTTAATGACCGGTTTTTTCCCTCTTGCAAACCACCCAATTCTCCAAAAATTTGTCAACCGGGTCATGTTGTCCTCTCCTATTGCTTTCTCCTGTTTTCTTGATTCATAGGTTTCCCCTTCAACTTCCTGGAGCCCATAGACAAAAACTGTTAGTGTTAGTGTGTATGTGCGTTGTGTTAGTTGGTTACCATCGTGTGTGTGTGTGTGTGTGTGTGTGTGTGTGTGGTGTGTGTGTGTTGTGTGTGTGTGTGTGTGTGTGTGTGTGTGTGTTGTGTGTGTGTGTTGGTTACCATTGTGTGTGTGTTAGTTGGTTACCATTGTGTGTGTGTAGTGTGTGTGTGTGTGTGTTGTGTGTGTGTGTGTGTGTGTGTGTGTGTGTGTGTGTGTGTATGTGTGTGCTCACCTAATTGTGGTTGCAGGGGTCGAAGAACTCAGCTCCTGGCCCGCCTCTTCACTGATCGCTATTAGGTCCTGTGTGTGTGTGTGTGTGTGTGTGTGTGTGTGTGTGTGTGTGTGTGTGTGTGTGTGTGTGTGTGTGTGTGTGTGAGTGTGTGTGTGTGTACTCACCTAGTTGAGGTTGCAGGGGTGAGTCCGAGCTCCTGGGCCCCTCTGCGTGTGTATGTGTGAGTGTGTGTATGTGTGCATGCGCACGTGTATGTGTACACACCTAGTTGTGGCTGCAGGGGTCGATTCACAGCTCCTGGCCCCGCCTCTTCACTGGTAGCTACTAGGTCACTCTTCCTGTTCCATGAGCTTTATTATGCCTCTTCTTAAAACTATGTATCATCTCTGAAACATCCTGTCTCTGTCCACTTTGTCAATTCCTCCTTGTATTTTATATGTCGTTATCATATCTCCCCTATCTCCCCTGTCCTCCACTGCCGTCAGGTCGATTTCCATTAACTTCTCCTCGTAAGGCATTCCCTTTTGCTCCTGGACTAGTCTTGTTGCAAACATTTGCACTTTCCCTAGTTTCTGTACATGCCTGGCTAGGTGTGGGTTCCAAACTGGTGCCGCATACTCCAATATGGGCCTAACGTACACAGTGTACAGGGTCCTGAACGATTCCTTATTAAGATGGCAGAATGCTGCACTTGGGTTTGCTAGGCGCCCATATGCTGCAGCAGTTATTTGGTTGATGTGCTTTTCAGGAGATATGCCTGGTGTTATACTAACCCCAAGATCTTTTTCCTTGAGTGAGGTTTGTAGTCTCTGGCCCCCTAGACTGTACTCCGTCTGCGGTCTTCTTTGTCCTTCCCCAATCTTCATGACTTTGCACTTGATGGGGTTGAACTCCAGGAGACAATTGCTGGACCAGTCCTGTAGCCTGTCCAGATCCCATTGTAGTTCTGCCTGGTCCTCGTCCGATTGATTTCTTCTCATCAAATTCACATCACCTGCAAACAGGGACATTTCGGAGTCTATTCCTTCCGCCATGTCGTTCACGAATACCAGAAACAGCACTGGTCCTAGGACTGACCCCTGTAGAACGCCACTTATCACAGGCACCCACTCTGACACCTCGCCTCATACCATAACTCGCTGCTGTCTTCCTGACAGGTATTCCTTGATCCATTGTAGTGCCTTCCCTGTTATCCTTGGCTGGTCCTCCAGTTTTTGCACTAATCTCTTGTGTGGAACTGTGTCAAATTCCTTCCTACTGTCCAAGAAAATGCAATCTACCCACCCCTCTCTCTCTTGTCTTACTGCTGTCACCCTGTCATAGAACTCCAGTAGGTTTGAGACACAGGATTTCCCATCCCTGAAACCGTGCTGGTTTGAGTGTGTGTGTATCTGTGTGTGTACTCACCTAGTTGAGGTTGCGGGGGTCGAGTCCGAGCTCCTGGTGTGTGTGTGTGTGTGTGTGTGTGTGTGCACTCACCTAATTGTGGTTGCAGGGTCGATTCACAGCACCTGCCCCGCTCTTAATTGGTCGCTACTAGGTCACTCTCCCTGCTCCATGAGCTTTAACATATCTCTTCTTAAAGCTATGTATGGATCCTGCCTCACTTTCCAGATTATTCCTCTCCCCGACAACTCTGTGACTGAAGAAATACTTTCTAACATCCTTGTACCTCATCTGAGTCTTGAACCTCCAATTGTGACCCCTTCTTGCTGTGTCCCATCTCAGAAACATTACGTTCCTATCCAACTTGTCAATTCCTCACTGTATTTTATATGTCATTATCATGTCCGCCATCTCCCTTTTCTCCTGTCGTCCAGTGTCGTCAGGTGGATTTGTGTGTCTGTGTACTCGCCTAAATGTGGTTGCAGGGGTTGATTCATTTCTCCTGCCTATGTGTGTGTGTATGTATATATATACTAACCAAATTGTATTTAACTAATTGTGGTTGCAGGAGTCGATTCACAACTCTTGGCCCCGCCTCTTCACTGGTCGCTACTAGGTCGCTCTTCCTGCTCCATGAGCTTTATCATACCACTTGTTAAAGCTATGTATGGATCCTGCCTTCACTACATCACTTTCCAGACTATTCCACTTCCTGACAACTCTATGGCTCAAGGAATACTTCCTCACATCCCTGTGACTCATTTGAGTTTCCAAATTCCAACTGTGAGCCTTTGTTGTTGTGTCCATCTCTAGAACTTCCTGTCTCTGTTCACCCTGTCGATTGCTCTCAGTATTTTATATGTCGTTATCATATTCCCCCTTCTCTCTCCTGTCCTCCAGAGTTGTCAGATTGATTTCCCTTAACCTCTCCTCGTAGGACATGCACCTTAGCTCCGGGACTAGTCTCGCTTGAAACCTTTGCACTTTCCCTAATTTCCTGACATGTTTGGCCAGGTGTAAGTTCCAAACTGGTGCTGAATACTACAACATGGGCCTAACGTACACGGAATATAGGGTCCTGAACGATTCCTCACTGGGATTTCGAAATGCTATTCTTAGGTTTGTTATGCGTCCATATGCTGCTGCAGTAGATATTTGGTTGATGTGTACCTCAGATGTACACGGTATTATACTCACCCCAAGATCCTTTTCTTTGAGAGAGGTTTGTAGTCTTTGGCCACATAGATTGTATTCTGTTTGCGGTCTTGTTTGCCCTTCCTCAATCTTCATGATTTTACACTTGGTGGGGTTGAACTCTAGGAGCCAATTACTGGACCAGACATGTAGCTTGTCCTGATTCCTTTATAGTCCTGTCTGGTCCTCGACCGATTGAATTCTCATTAACTTGATATCCTCATTTGTGTGTGTGTGTGTGTGTGTGTGTGTGTGTGTGTGTGTGTGTGTGTGTGTGTGTGTGTGTGTGTGTGTGTGTGTGTGTGTGTGTGTGGTTTGAGTGAGTGTGCGTGTGCGCGTGTGTGTGTGTGCTTGTGACGTAATAGAATGACCCCAGTGAAGACCATTTTCGAGACAGGGCCAGGATCTAAGACTCGATCTCTGCAACTACAAATACGTAATTACGCTTACACACACACACACACACACACACACACACACACACACACACACATAAACACAAATACACCTGGTCAAGCACGTCAGAGAATTAGAGAAAGTGCAAAGGTTTGCAACAAGACTACGCGGCCTGACGACACTGGAGGAGGGTTAGTGGAGACATGATAACGACGTGTAAAATACTGCGATGAATAGACAAGGTGGACAGAGACAGGATGTTCCATAGATGGGACACAGAAACAAGGAGTCACAATTGAAAGTTGAAGACTCCTATGAGTCATAGGGATGTCAGGAAGCATTTCTTCAGTCATAGAGTTGTCAGGAAGTGTAATAGTCTGACTAGTGACGTAGTGGAGGCAGGAACCATACATAGTTTTAAGGCTAGGTTTGATAAAGCTTGTGTAGCAGGGAGAGAGAGGACCTAGTAGTGATCAGTGAAGAGGCGGAGCCAGGAGCTATGACTCGGCCCCTGCAACTTCAAATACGTGAGTACCCCCTCCCCCCACACGCACACACAGGACCTGGGACGCATAAAAGGAAGGGCACTGCAATGGATCAGATTATTATTATTATTATTATTATAATCAAGGGAAAGCGCTAAACCCGTAGGATTATACAGCACTGGGGGGATGTGGAAGGCATTCAGGCTTAATTCGGGGAACTGGAGCACAGATCCAATTCCCTAAATCAAGAGCCCCTCACCAACTTCAAGGAACCTTCTGTGAGGGGCAATGGATCAGAGAATACCTGACAGGGAGGCAACAACGAGTCATGGTACGTGACGAGGTATCAAAGTGGGCGTCTGTCACGAGCGGGGTTCCACAGGGGTCAGCCCTAGGACCAGTGCGATTTTTTGTATATGTGAATGACATGACGGAAGGGATAGACTCAGAAGTGTCCCTGTTTACAGATGATGTGACTTTAATGAGGAGAATTAAATCAGATGAAGATCAGGCAGGACTATAAAGAGACCTGGACATGCTAGAAGTCTGGTCCAGCAACTGTCTGCTCGAATTTAACCCGCCAAATGCAAAGTCATGAAGAGCGAGGAAGGGCAAAGAAGACCGCAGATGGAGTAAAGGCTAGGTGGCCAAAGACTGCAAACCTCACTCAAGGAAAAGGATCTTTGGGTGAGTATAATACCGAGCACACCTGAAGCGCACATCATAATTACTGCAGCATATGGGCACCTGGCAAACCTGGGAATACCGATTCCGATACCGTGCGCTTCAGGCTCATACTGGAGTATGCAGAACCAGTTTGGAACCCACACCTGGTTAAGCACGTCAAGAAATTAGAGAAAGTGCAAAGGTTTGCAACAAGGCTGGTTCCAGAGCTAAGGGGAATGTCGTACAAAGAAACGTTAAGGGAAATTGGCCTGACGACACTGGAGGAAAGGAGGGTTAGGGAAGAGAAGATAAGGACATACAAAATACTGCGAAGAATTGACAAAGTGGAAAGAGACAGGATGTTTTATAGATGAAACACAGAAACAAGGGGTCACAATTTGAAGGTGATGACTCAGATGAGCCAAAGGGATGGTAGGAAGTATTTCTTTAGTCATAGAGTTGACAGGAAGTGGAATAGTCTGGCAAGTAACGTAGTGGAGGCAGGAACCATACATAATTTTAAGACGAGGTTTGATAAAGCTCATGGAGCAGGGAGAGAGAGAGGCCTTAGTAGCGATCAGTGAAGAGACGGAGCCAGGAGCTATGAATCGACCTCTGAAACCACAAATAGGTGAGTATACGCACACAGTTTCTGTAACTCGACCACTACAACCTCAAGCGAGTACATAATTTCAAATCTTTATTTTTCCCAGGATATTAACATGTCTCGTTCTGCTTTCAGGTGGCTGTCTGCATGAAGGCTGACCTCCAAAAGCACGCTGAGAAGACAGGCTGGGGCGGTGAGGACAGCAGTTACCTCTTCCTGGCCTCCTCTGGCCTCATCAGTGGCCGCGAACACGACCCACTCTCTCTCATGGAGGACATCGGTGACATGATCTTCAGTACTGGTCCCTTTGACTTGTAGGATCTTGTGTTGTGGACCTTGTGGTTCACCAGAGGTGGAGCAGTGGTCCGTCTGAGTTGGGGTAGTGGTCCATCTGAGATGGGACAGTGGTCCATCTGAGTTGGGGTAGCGGTCCATCTGAGATTGGGTAGCAGTCCATCTGAGATGGGACAGTGGTCCATCTGAGATAGAGCAATGATCCATCTGAAGTGGGCTAATGGTCCATTTGAATGGGTAGTGGTCCATCTGTGGTGGGGGTAGTGTTTCATCTGAGGTTTGGTATTAGTCCATCTGAGGTGGGGGAAGTGGTCCACTTGAGCGAAGTAATGGTCCTTTTGAGATGGGGGCAGAGATACCCAATTAAAATCTAAGAGTGGGTTATAAAAGAGAAAGTCTGAGTTACTTTAAAGTAAGATGAAAGAACCATCTGATGTGGGCCAAAACTTAAGGTAGGTCGTAGATCCTCTTAAGGTGGGTCGTAGATCCTCTTAAGGTGGGGTCGTAGATCCTTTTAAGGTGGGGACGTAGAGCCTCTTAAGGTGGGGTCGTAGATCCTTTTAAGGTGAGATCGTAGATCCTTTTAAGGTGGGGTCATAGAACCTCTTAAGGTGAGGTCGTACCTCTTAAGGTGAGTCGTAGATCCTTTTAAGATGGGGTCGTAGATCCTTTTAAGGTGGGGTCGTAGAGCCTCTTAAGGTGGGATTGTAGAGCCTCTTAAGGTGGGATTGTAGAGCCTCTTAAGGTGGGTCGTAATCCTATTAAGGTGGGTCGTAGATCCTTTTAAGATGGGGTCGTAGTTCCTCTTAAGATGGGGTCTTATATCCTCTTAAGGTGGGTCGTAGATCCTCTTATGGTGGGGTCGTAGAATTTTTTAACAAGAGGTCGTAGAGCTTCGTTACTACACAATCTGAAGCTCAAACATCAATCAACTACACAATTTCACCCCCGTGACAGATTGTTGATGGTTAACACCTGGCACTGTTAGTGAGCTCACAAAACGTCGCAGCTCAGATGTTGCAACTCACAAGATGTTGCAACTCATAAGAGCTGACAACCCCTAGACATTTGAGCCGCAATATGTTTGCAAACCAGCATCTAGTAAGATCATTGATGCTCGGCGGATGTGTAGCGGTGTTTGCGTGAGCAAACACAAAGAAAATGCTTTCAACATCTGCAGATTGAACATCACCTAGATCACACTTGTGTTATTTTCATAGGTGTTTTTATGTTTCTGAACAATATGCAAAATGTGAACTAAATTTTTGTCAAGTGATTTATATGAGCTGGAAGAAAATGAATGATTTTTGTGTGTGTACAGATGGACAACAAAAGCCTACAAGTGGCCATTAAATAATGTATTAAAATGTTAAAAAATACAAATAAAAGTAGATTTACTTTAGATGTTTTCTTTCGACTGACCGGTGGGCAAAAGGAGAGTTTACGTAAATGGGGAGAAATCAGAATGGAGACGTGATACTGGTGAGGTTCCTCAGGGGTCAGTGTTGGATCCTTTCATAATATACATAAACGACTTTGATGAGGAAATAAATAGGACATAAGTCTGCGATGATTCTAAAAAAAATACATCAAATAAATTCTGACTGGTACACGGCAGCGCTACTGGAAGATCCGTGTAGGTTGATGCAGTAGTTGTAGAAGTGGCGGAGGATGTTTAATGTAGACAAATGTAACTTTCTAATCCTAGGAAAAGAAACTAATCATGGTACTAATAAACTAAATATTATAGATCTCAATCAAACTAAATATGAAAAAGATTTAGGAGTTCTATAGTAGTTAGCAATTATCTAAAACTAGACAACAGTGCAGTGTATAAGTATTCGCAATAAAGTTACTTAAATTCTTGACTTCATATGAAGAAGTATAAACAATCGGAGTCCTCAGTCGCTGATTATTTTTGAGTGATCTCTCAACAACTCCACAACCGATGCAAGAACGTTGATCAGAGTTGGTCAACAACAAAATATTTTCTGTCAAACCACATTTAAGTTTCCAGCCTTCTTTTTCCACTGCTGTCATGTTTGGGAGACAGCACTCTCCCGTCTGCACATCGGCCACATGCTCCTCGCTTACAGAGTATAATGGAAAATACCAGGCACCGCTCTGCCAGGACTGTCGGGTTACACTGCCAGTTCAACATACCTTATTAAATTGTCCACCCAAATCAACAGGCACACAGAACTCACTTCCGTCGTCTCTGCCTCCCCAAACACTGACCTCCTAGCTGAAAGTTCCGCCTTCGACACTGACTGACTTTTTAGCAGAAACTTATTGAGCTGTGGTTTTACTTTTCCTCTTACACTCTCCCTTACCCACACTAACTCCTACCCACTCATGCCTGATAAAGTATGTCAGGAATATGGAGAAAGTACAGAGGTTTGCCACAAGAACAGTCCAAAAGCTAAGAGGAATGAACAATTAAGAACTTGACAATATTAGAGTAGTACCAGAAAAGGCCTTATGACGTGCAACATAGTCAGAGACTTGACAGGATGGAAAGGAAAAGACTGTTTAAGGGTTAGAAATGGGTACACAAGGGTACAGCTGAAAGTCAAACAGATGAAGTACGAATATTGCGTCAGTGTCAAGGTAGTCAGAAAGTGGTATGACCTGGATAAAAAAAAAATCTGATAAAAGTCAAGACCAGGAGCTCTGAATCGACTCCACAAGTTGAGGTCAGGAATAATTTAAAGTGTTGGTACGATAACGTCCAAGAAGTCAACAGTCATTACTTACTTAAGAGGAGAGGGCCAGGAGCTGTGCCTTGACTCCTGAGCACAAACACCGTACACAACACCAGCATAAAACATAAACAACATTACTATAACCAGGCAGAAGCGTTCAACCCGTATGGATCATACAGAGCATGGGCAGAGGGAGACACCCAAGTTCCATACAAGGAAAAGTACAAGTTCAGTTTCCTGTGTGAACATTATATCGTAAGTTTATTTAGATAGCTAACACAATTATTATTATTATTATTATATTATTAATTATTATTATTTATATTATTATTATTATTATTATTATTATATTTTAACCAAACGCTAAACCCACATGGTCATACAACATAATTTTAGAATATTACAATTATCTTACATATTAACCGTCGTGTTAATTACCCGGGTTATCACTCAAAAAAAAAAAAACAGAAATCCAACAAAAGTGAATTATTTCCACTGATGTCCTTGTGTCGCCTCCCTGACCGGGTGTCGCCTCCCTGGCCGGGTGTCGCCTCCCTGGCCGGGTGTCGCCTCCCTGGCCGGGTGTCGCCTCCCTGGCCGGGTGTCGCCTCCCTGGCCGGGTGTCGCTGTCAGCATAGTTGCTGATCCCTGTATTCCCAGTATTATATAGCATAGCATTATTAGCATCATCCATGTGCTTTAGACACGAGATCCCTTGTAGGCCTGTGGCTTTGTGTGACGTCACGGGATACAGATGTGTGGGCTCATGCCCCTGTCGCCTCTCTGGCTGGGTGTCACCTCTCTGGCCGGGTGTCGCCTCCGTGCCGGGTGTTGCCTCCCGGCCGGGACATAAACATGCTACAATAACACGACTACAATTAAGCTGTGAGTTGTAGGACTCACGGGTCATGGGTTTGAACTCCATCCGCTCACTGACTGGATGATACGCAATATCATCAACACAGCACACAAATAACCCACACATTGACAAAGTCACTTTGTGACTTTGTCAATGTGTGAATACTAGAAGGACTGCCCTTCTAGCATCCAGCCTGTTACTGGGTTTTCGTAACAAGTAGTCAGTATCCTTGTCCAATTATCCATTAAAATTCAGTATTATTCATAGTGCTTCAGGATTACAACTGGTAGGCTACTAACTAGAGAAATTAAAATTTAATAAAATTTTTTAAGTCTAGAGGTATTTTATCAAATTAAATTAAATTTTAAATTAATCACAGCAATCAAAATAAAACAGTCTCCGAGTTCAATTTATTGTGCTGAAAGCACATTCACTTTTATAATTTTTAAGTACCGTCTGTACATTAACATTTAAAAGATTTTACAAAATTACAAGGTGTAGTGTGTAAGTGCTCTTAATAGTTCCTATGTCCAAGACTCGAATAGACTTAAACAATGACTGACAAAGTCCTCAAATAAACAAACTTCTTACCGACTGGCCCCCCAAAACATCTGCTTGAACAACAAAAAATGCAACCCCAATAGCAAGCAATAACAAGCGACTGCGAACAGAATCAGGAACTGGGAGATAATTAACACACTAAGTAGGGACCATCACAGATCCTCCCAAAAAAGACGAACTCCAAAACTACTAATCTAATTTCAGCATGGGAAAAAACCCCTGACTGTGACAAAAAACCAGAAACCAGTACAAAATTAGGTCAAAAGCATAGCTAAGGACCTAGAGTTCAGAGTGTCTAAGGGGACACACAACCCAGTAAAACGCGAAAACACTAATCTAACAATGTTCTTTGAACGATTTCTCAAAACTAACAAGAAAATAGACAGACAATCTGTCCAAACCACCAAGCAGTCTAGACAGACTGAATACTTCACAGAGGTGAGGACCCCCCCCCCCTCGATCACGTGATAGCCCTGGGCACATCACCCAGGAGAAGCCGGCAATAAAAAAGCGACAAGAGATAATTACAGTATTTGCAATCAAGACTTGAACTGCACTATTATGTACACCAAACAACATAAGTCAAATAAGAATATAAAAAATATTTTACGATTTGCATCGAAATATAAAATATAAATTATAAAAAAGATAAATACATTATATATATAAAAAATCATTGTAACCCATTCAGAGGTTGCAACACCCCCCCCCCCCCAACCGACAGACGGTCGCACGGGTTTTTCATTAATGCCTTTCACATTATTATGTTACTCTACAATAAAATTTAATATAAATTTTTAATCGAAGTCTCTCTTGTCCCAAAGCCCTCTACAATTTCAACTGCCTCACTAGGATATCCCCCATACTGGGGCAGTAACAGAAATCGTACTCTGCTACTCGGGGTTAATACATCATGTAGAGACAGGATAGCGGACGGGCAGGCACTGAGGCTCTCATAGTAGGGGAACTGCATTCCACTCTAAGTATGGTTGTGGAAGCGAGGCGTATAACATCGGGTATAAACAGCTTAAGGTGGTAGTGAAGTGGGGGGGGGGTCTGCGACAGGCAGTGTTGCGTGCAGTAATCACCCCACCACCTACTCACTCAACACTCACTTGTCTCCTCCCACACAACAATCGGGGAATATAAAAATTAAAATAATTAACATGACTGATAAATAGTTAAAAGGGCGGGAGGGTTTAATTTTACTTTACAAATTTGACATCCCCAAGTAACAAAAGGTATTTGGGCTTTAAAATTCGTTAATTTAAGTAACTGATAATTTTTAAAGGGGGACGAACGAGGTCAGAAATTACTTACAAGACCACAGTTTTAACTAATAGAATAATTTTGGATTTTAGGACCCACCTCAAAAAATCCTAGCATTTTTACTTCATAGTATTTATATAAGTGAGGGGATTTGGTAAAAAAAAACTTTAAATTTTTTAAATGGGGAAGTCCCCAAATACCGTCAAATTTTCCCAAGGACACCACAAGAGCAAAGGCCTCTTTCTCAATAGTGGCATAATTTTTTTGGTCTTTAAGTTTAATGATAGTAAATATGGGATGGAGAATATCAGGGGAGTTACTGTTGGAGCACACAGCGCCCACTGCATAACCACCGAAACTAATGTAAAAAAAAAAGGGGAAAAAATTAGGACTCTTCAACACAGGAGCAGAGGATAGCAAGCGTTTAAACCCTTTGAACGACCCAAACAATCTCTAGTCCGGGTGAACTAAATTTTTCCCTATTTTTAAGCCAGTGGGGGACTGCAATCTGAGAAAAGTTGACAAACCGCGAAAATATCCTGCCATCCCCAGGAATCTCTGACCCCTTTTTCCTACCGTGGCATGGAAAATTCAGAAATTGCACGAACCTAGCCTCAAAGAAGAAACCTCACCTTGGCCGATACAAAAGCCTAATAGGAAATCTTGGCTTACCAAAACTACATTTACTAATTAACAGGGGTTGTAGTGCCCAGTCCTCAAACAATCTCTGAACGCTCAAGTGCTGTTTCCCACTCCACTGTACACCATAAGTCGTCAAGGTAGGCTTCTACCCTTCTAAGTTGGGGGTCACTCGTTCATTTACGTTGGAATTAAGAAGCCGCGTTACATGGGCCCCGGGGGGGGTGACGAGGTATTAAACAATCCACTTGAACAGTAAAAAGCAGATATTTCTTGAGCACGTTCAGTAAGCGGACTTGAAATAGCCTCGTAAGAAAATCTAAAGGCAAACAAACTGGCTCCTGACACACGTCAATAAGTCGTCA